AGATCTCCTGTTAATAAGTCTCAACTCAAAGGAGAGAACCTGCTAGGACTTCCATGGGGAATAAGTGAGCAGCATCTGCAGGCATGACTCCTAGCAAGCTTAACCAACTTAGCCACGGCAGGGGCAGTGCTCCTCCCTGGAGAACTTCTCTGCCCGTAGCTGCTATCAGATCCAGTCACTCATGGGGCAGGCACCAGGGACCACCTAGCAGTAAAGGCAGGCCATTTCCCTTCCCCCCAGGGCGCTGCAGTTCTTGTCACGAGGCGGGGCACACTGTTTTGATAATCTGACCCAGGCTCAGATTCCATGTCAGGTCATGCGTGGGTGCTGAGTCCCTTCAGTCGTTTCCGACTCTTTGCAAAGTTATGAACTGTATCCCGCCAGGCTCCTCTGTCCATGGGCTTCTCTAGGCAAGAATACTGGAGTGGGTTGCCATTTCCTTCTCCAGGGTCTTCTTCCTGACCCAGGGATCGAACCCAGGTCTCCTGCATTGCAGGCAGACTCTTTGCCATTTGAGCTGTCTTTAGGTTGGGCATGTTAGGTTACTTCTCAGTAATTCAGGGCCAAGGATGGAATGCTTTATTAGTGGGCATGAGCAAAATAAGTTTTCGGATGGCACAAAACATTCTTCTAAAATTTTTCTGGCACATTTCCTGGCTATTGTTTTGGTGGGGATGGTCACATCAGGTACGAGGTGGAAAGCAAACAGCCATCAAGCAAGGTATTTTAAAGGAGAAAGTGTAACTTGGGGGAAGTTTCTTCTACTTTTTTCCTAATCGCTTAAAAAATTTTTTCTCCCTTAAGTCAATCTGCAGTGTAGCATTGGTAAAATGCCCCACTCAGTAGTTAGAAAAGCCTAAATAAAAGTTCACTTACGTAAGGTTACAGATCTCAGGACCAATCCCCAGACAATGAGATCACAGGAGTTTTAAACTTTCTTTCTCCTGGGTAAACCAAGTAGCCCAAGGCTGTCCAGATTGTCATAAACTTTTCCGATTTTCACATCAAAGTGGAGTAACAGCAACTCAAAATAAGAACCAAATAAGATACGGAATGTATAAAGGGGAAAAAACAGAAGAAAAAAGAACACCGTTTTGAAGAAGAAAAAGACATTCTTGCTGCCACTGGGAATAACAAATGTGATCTGAGGACAGAGACAGATTTCCATTTTAAAGCTGAGGTGAGGCCTGCAGAGGTTGAGGCCTGGGCCCAGGTCACACAGGAAGCGGGAGGAAGGGTCCGAACCAAGAGGCCTGGTGTGACCTGGGCCAGGCCCTCCCGGGAGATGCTGTCTCCACCCTCTCTTCAGCAGAGAAAGGGAACGCGCAGGATTTGAACAAGGTCAGAAGGCAGATCATCCATGCAGGCAAGAAGAAAGGGCCTTGACCACTGCACATGCAGGGAGGCTGAGCCTTGGAGGGGCTTGGGGCTGTGACTTAGACCTCAGGGGGCATTTGGAAATATCAAAAGGCCTCTTGGTTGTCACAGCTGGTGAGGGAGGTGCTCCTGACATCTCTGGGGTAGAAGCCAGGAATGCTCCTAAACGTCCTCTGGTGTGTAGGACAGCCCCCACGACAAGGAACCACCAAGGGGGCACTTCCCTGGTGGCCCAGTGGCTGAGATTCCCAGCTCCCAGTGCAGGGGGCCTGGGTTCGATCCCTGGTCAGGGAACCAGATCCCACATGCTGCAGCCAAAAGACCCAAAGTGCCATGACAAAGGTCAAAGATCCCTCATGCCTCAGCTAAGACTTGCCACAGACAAATAAATATTTTTAAAAAGAACCACCCAAGGTCATAAATACTAGACCATAAAGTTTTTATCTGGGCACTGAGAAGCCAGACTGACACTGTCATTATCAGCATCATCGTTAGAAAGATCGCAGTTGTTTATGATCTGTGTTTGGATCGCACCGAGCACCCACCTTCTTTCCGCAGATTCCTGGCTCACCTTCAGTGCTGGACGTGGCCGTGACCACAGGGAGCAAATCTGTCCCTGGGGCCCCGGTCATCTGCTCTTGCCTCTACCCTCCTCAGGGGTCCAGCCAGCACCGGGCCGTTCATCCACTCCTTCCTGGCAATAGCTGATCCCAGGAAATTTCTGCCTGCCATCACTTTCATCTTGGCATGAACTGCAGCCAGTGTGTTATCCTTCCCAGAGAGTTTGCATATCACGATGCATCTGGTGCCAAAATGTGTTTCCTATAAAAAGAACCTCCTGCCTCTGACCAGGCTGGGGAGAGGGTTGAGAAGTTTGAAAGTGACCACACACAGCTCCCTCTGTTCTTCCAATGGACGGGATCAACTCCCTAGAAAACATCTGCAGGCCCATCTGCTCGGACCCAGGATTCTGGCTAAACTCAAGCAACTTCACAACACTTTCCTTCTGGGCTCCCTAAATACGTCTTCTTATATTTTAAGGCAAATCTTTACTGAGAAATTTGAGGGGTTTTTGTTTTTATTTATTTTTCTTTTGGCCTTTGCCTAACTTCCCTCAGCAGTTTCATGATAGATTTCCAGGACTTGTGAACAGGAAAGAAGCTCCCGGAGTGACCAGAAAATAATGGATTTCTTGGGAAAGTGTCATGGTTTTTGTTGATTTTTAGAGGCTCAAGGTTTTAATTTCTAAAATCACTGTAACTGAATGGATTTTGGAGCTCTTCTAAGGATTAAAGGAGATAATAGATGTAAAACGATTTTGAAAATTATCAAATATCCATTTTGTGGATGTAAACAATGGTGGTGGTGAAAAAAAAGATACTGCCCGGGGAGGGGGGGGGTGCTGTTCTCCCCTAACACCCAAGGCCTCCCCCTCCAGAAAGAAAACCAAACCAAATCCCCAAATAGATCCTGCCCAGTTCTATATCTTGTAAGCGGGTTATAGATCTTCAAAATCAGAACTTCATAGGCTTCCTATGATTAATAAAATTGCAAGGCAATTTGCATTAGGATAGATGTGCTTCATTCAAGACTTAGCTTTCGCTTGGCCAGGTGCCAACATAGGAAGTACTGGGTTCATTGCTTCCTGTTCATCCCCCTCTTGCTTTGTTTGTGTTAGGCAGTGATCTCTGCACTTGTAAAAGTACACACGATGTGTGAGTAAGCCCGGGCTGGTGAGCATGCCATTTCAGAGTGCCTAAGGAATTCGTTTGCATCCAACCACTGCCAGTAACTGCTTGCTTTCTCACTGCAAAACTGTCATGGTAACTCCAAAGAAGAAGAAAAGGGGGCTCTTGTCTGTGAATCAGGAAAAACAGTGACCAAAGGTCTCATGTATGTTGTTATAAACAGTTATTAAAAAGAAATTCCTAAATTATTTAGAATTTATTGTCTTTTCACTTGCATATTTTATGTCACAGACATAAACTAACAGCAATGAAAAAAAATGCCTTTAAATGTTCGTTTTTACCTTTCCTTCCTTTTAAAGTTTCGCTTTTCTTAAATTTACACATAGCCTAATTGTTAATTTAACGATCTTTGTTCTTAAGTGCTAACTAGAAATTGCATTTCCTATTATTCTCAGTCTAATAATTTTATAAAATTGATATTTGATGTTATTTCACTGAAATCAGACTCAAAGATAGCAGTCTTTAGGAGAGATATTTTAAAAAATAAAACTTGAGGAAATTGGGGGACTGCCCTATGGGTCAGTGGTTAAGATTTTGCCTTCCAGGGCAGGGTGTGTGGGTTCAGTCCCTGGTTGGGGAGCTAAGATCTCATGGCCACAAAACCAAAACATAAACCAGAAGCAATATAGTAACAAATTCAATAACGACTTTAAAAATGGTCCACATAAAAGAAGTCTTTAAAGAAAAAGTTAAGAAAATTGGTAGCAGAAGAAGTAGATTTTGCTCAGTTTTTTATCGAATGAAGTATCAATAGCACCTAGCTTAATGTTTTTTCAGGAATATTCTGCTTATATTTGGGCTTCCCAGGTGACTCCGTGGGTGTAGGAAACCCAGGAGATGCAAGTTCAATCCTGGGTTGGGAAGATCCCCTGGAGGAGAGCATGGCAACCCACTCCAATATTCTTGCCTGGAGAGTCCCATTGACAGAGGAGCCTGACGGGCCAGAGTCCACAGTGCTGCAAAGAGTCGGACATGACCGAAGCGACTGGGCACACGGGCACACATGCTTGTATCGACAGATCTGACTTGCTGTCATGCACCAAAGACAGAGTCTGTGCGTCCCACGTGTCAGCACAGTCCAGGGCTGCCTGGGACCTAGACAACACGTTTAATCCACTGCCCACACTGGACTCCCAGCCTCCTCGATCATGAGAATAGTGTCTCCTCCCCCAGGAAGCAGTTCCAGTGCAGGGTCTGTGCATCCTCAAAGATGCTCCAGGATCTCCTGCCGAGACCAGCAAGGAAGGTAGAAAGTGCCTAGGTCTGGAGTCAGCAGACCTGGGATCTAGCTTGAGGACTGAGGCTTTGTCACTGACCAACTGTCAGCACACTGCTTTCTAACTTGCAAAACGGAATGCATAATGCCAGCCCTTCCCCCCTTATCTCATGTGTTTACTCTGAAGAATCAACACCCATTTCATAAACTGCCAATATACAGTCCTATGCTGAGGTATCGTTGGAATAGAATAGGATTAGTCATTTATTTCTTCATTCTTACTGTGGGTGTGAATGTAGATAAATTATGCTTTACAGTTTTTCTTTTTGCTGCTCTTTGGTGTTTGATCAATTGATTGATCGATTGATTATAGTTACTGACATTTCGTCATGGTCTCTCTCACTCCCCAGGTAAAGATGCTTAAGAATAAGTGATCTGTACTATCATGTGACCTATTAGCATTTGTCTGAAGCCAAAGCCACATATAGTACTGAGATAAGAATTTAGTTTTATGGCACATGAAAAGTTCGGGGAATTACAGACTCTTCCAAGTAAAAGTTTATTAAGTGTAAGTCACTATTTCAACAGCTCTTAATGAACTGACACCCATATGGAGGCAAATGACATATCTAATTATAGTCATCAGTAGTTGTTCTTACCATGGCTGACCCAACACGGCTGACTTTGATGGGATTCCCTCTGCCAGAAAGGTCCATATTCGCTTTGTCCATCACAAACAGGCAAGCGTCAAGGATGCTATCCTCAAACTATTTGGGGGAAAAAAATGAGAAACTACTTAATGTCCAATCTGCAAACAAGACATTCATTTTCTGCCAAAAGATAAAATGAGACCACAGCCTAATGTTTAGAAATGTGTATTTCCTGTATGGAAATCACTCATGATCTTTAGTGTGAAATATTTAAGGTGGAAGGAAGGAGACATCTTCTTTTATTTTTCAATATAATGGATAAGAACTTAAGAGCTAGCTAGAAGTATGAATAAAACTACTAGCAAGCTGCTATGCTCAAGGGTCAAGAACGGGGACTTCCCTGCAGTCCAGTGGGTAAGACTCCATGCTTCCAGTGTAAAGGGTGCAAGTTCAGCCCCCGTGAGGAGCTAAGACCTCACCTGCCAGGCCATGGGGTCAAAAACAGGGGGCAAAGAATCAAGGACTGGCTTGATGTTCTTTAGAAAATTGTAGGGTTAGTTGTAGGGCTAATTCAGAGGATCTCTCCTATGTATTGGCTCCTGGGATGTCCGCCAGTGGGATGAGCCATTTACCAAAGTCAGGCCAGAGTCTCGAGACCTCAAAAGTCACATGAGTCCTTGTGCATCTGAGAAATAAAGGGCTCTCATGTCCATCTCGGGAAGGCGCTTCAGGCCTGCAGCGCATGCACCATGAAAGGCAGGAGACCTCACGCAGAGAACCTCTGCCCACGGTTCCCTCTCTTCCGAGACGAGGTGGACTCCAGGATCAAAGAGAGGGCAGGAAGGTTTAGAGAAAGATTATACTATCAAGTCTGGCAGTCGGTTCAGTCTCCTTAGAAAGAACTCCGAACTACACAGAACACCAGAATTTTCCAAAAATGGAGCAAAGACAAAAATAGTTTTTAAAAATGGTAAAACTGGAAGATGATACCTATACTGCACCTCACTGTGCAGGAAATTTCCCTGAATACAGAAACCTTGTATATTATCTACCCAGTGGTTAGGACAGACACCACTGTCTTAATGGCTGATTACCAGGTAATTCTCCATTAAAATCCAATTCGAATACCAACTCTGGGTGTCTCCTAAACTGACGTGATGGCTGCAGGAATGGGTAATCGCACTAGCTCTCCAGGTAAGAACTCATTACTCTGGTTCCTATGAGGCAGCATCTTTCAGCTGTGTCTGTGGGGCATGACAGCGGTCAACAGGAACAGTAAAGACATCGTCAGAGAGCTAGTTACATTGCCTCATTGCAAACTACTGGCTTGGGTGGTTGATTGGGCTGAAACACCCAAATTAATGGACTCTGAATGAGAGCAGAGAGAAGCAGCAAGTGTGTTTCAGGGCATCTATCCGTGTTGGCTAAGGGCCCCGCATCATGCTTGGCACCCTTTCCCCGGCCTCCTTGCTACCCACCTGATTGAGCTTTTTTCCTGGTTAGCTCTCTCTCTCTCTCTGTTCTTACATTGGGAGCATAAATAGAATCACATTTAAAGGTTAGGAATTAGGGACCCAAGGCAAGGACATCAGACAATAAGCTATGGTCACGGGTTGTATGTCACTCAGGTAGTGGAGGGCTTGGAACTGGGGAGCCAGGCAAGGATCCCCAAACAGGGGAAGAACACACTTATCCTCAGCCCAGCAGGATGTCAGAAATGCAGGTGGGCAAAGCTGAACAGTGGGCGTGTGATTCTCAACAGTTAGAATCAACCAAGATGGAGAGCCTGCGCAGGTGGCACCAGTGGTACAGTCTGCCAAAGCAGGAGACATAGGGGACACGGGCTTGATCCCTGGATCGGGAGAATCCCCTGGAGCAGCAAATGGCAGTTCAGTATTCTTGCCTGGAGTAGCCTGGTGGGCTACGGTCCCTGGGGTCCCAAAGAGTGGGACGTGACGGAGCACAGCACGACATCAGGAGCCCAGGTTGGATACCGGAGTCTGAGCTCGTGGAATTTCACCGTTCTGAAATGCCAACGCTTTCTCACTGGAATGCCATGCCAACCATACAGGCTCCGATCTCTGTAACATTGTAATAACCGGAAATATGTGATTTCAGCTGATAAATTATGCAGGTGCCCTTCGAAGTCTGCACCCAGGCTGTCTTAGAGACTCAGATCCTGAAAAGCAGGAAATTGTGCTTGCCCAATATTGACACTTGGCACCCTGCAGTGATACATGGGACTGAAAATATGAGTGAAGATGTCCTTGACAATGACAAATGTTAAGTGGCTCACCTGACCGTAGCTCCAGCTCCTGCTCTTGATGTCATTGAAGTCTCCATGAAAAATAACCCCGATGTCATTCAGGACATATTCTTCTCTTTCTTTTTCATTATCCAAGTACACAGCATCCTCTGCATTGGAATTTAAACAAAATGACTATTAACCAAGCCAGAAGGTTTCTGCACACTTGAAAGTTTATTCTGATCATAAATTGCAATTACTCAACCAAATGGGAAAAAGTCTTTTGCTTCACTAAAGGTAGCTCATTTCACAATGTATGATTTTAATAATGGTGAACAAAACTGGCCAAGATCAGTCTGCTAACGATGACACTTGTCATCAAAATACTGACAAGCTTTGGCTAAGTGCCAAGTAGCACAATCAAACTGATGAGTCTCCTGAAACATTTTAGGATTCTGGTGCATCAGTGGTTTCAGAATCAGGATTCTATAATGTAGATAAAAATCTGTAACACAGATCAAAAAATAATTTCCAAAGTATTAACATTAAAAGAATTAGAGATGATTTTATAACAAGTCTGGGCACATTAGCAGGCTGGAGAGTTCATGGGTCATGCCTGGTTTGTGGCCCATCGGGGAGAGGAGGGAGGCTGGGCAGTGTCTCCTTCAAGGAACAGTGCTGGTGCATGTGCTGGTACGGGCGTGTCCGATCGGCCTCTCTGATCCTCTTCCTCCACTGCAAGGACTTTTATCATCTTTTTCAGAAACGTTAGTTTACTGGGTTTTGGCTGTGCTGGGTCTCCATCGCGGTGTGGGCTTCTCCTGGCTGTAGGGAGCGAGCGCTGCTCTAGAGGTGCGGCCGGAGGGCTTCTCAGAGCAGTGGCTCCCGGACTCTAGAGCACAGGCTCAATAGCTGTGGCTCCCGGCCTCGGTTGCTCAGCAGCAAGTGGATTCCTCCCGGATCAAGGGTTGAACCCACGTCTCCTGCATTGGCACGCGGATTCTTTGCCCTGAGCCGCCAGGGAAGCCCACAGGGACTCTTCCTGCCTGTGGCTCTAATCTCAGGAAAGCCTTGCTCCCCACCTGCGTACTGAGGAACCAGCCTGGCACTTATTCCCAGGCCAGGCATGAGAGCAGCCAAAGCATCTTTAACACACACGGGACCACACAGGAGTAAGTTCTACTTAGGTCAGCGTGCGTCCTTGGCAATTGTCAGTTTCAGGTCTGAACAAAGACGTGGCTCATCACATTTCTCTGGCCCAGGTCATCCTTGCCATCCTGCTACTTTCTTGGGGATCTTTCCTTCCCATTTCCTGGTAAGGCTTTTATCATCCCTCTGGAGTTGTTGTTGCTCAGTTGCTCTGTCGTGTCCGACTCTCTCTGACCCCATGGACCACAGCATGCCAAGCTTCCCTGTTCTATCTCTCGGAGTTTGCTCAAACTCATGTCCATTGAGTCGATGATGCCATTCAACCACCTCATCCTCTGTTGACCCCTTCACCTCCTGCCTTCAATCTTTCCCAGCATCAGGGTCTTTTCTAATGAGTCAGCTCTTTACATCAGGTGGCTGAAGTATTGGAGTTTCAACTTCAACATCAGTCCTTCCAATGAATATTCAGGGTTGCACATTAGAATCATTCGGGTAGATTTAAAAACTGTAGATTCCTGAGTTGAACTCTAGATCAGTCGGATCAGAATCTCTGGGAGCAGGAGTGAGATCCAGGCAGCAGGCTTTTAAAAAATGAATTAATTAACTAATGAGCTAATTTTAAGCTCTCCTGTGAGTCTGATATGCAGCCATAGTTGAGAACAAATGTCCCAGCCCCCTGATGTTACGAACGGTGGAAAGACCAGCAGCGTCAGCACTTCCTGGAACCTCGTGAGAAATGCAATTTCAGGCCTCAGTTCAGACCCACGGAGTCAGAATCTGCATATTAACAAGGTCCCCAGGGATCTGTGTATATATTAAAGTTTGCCCGGTGCTGCTCCATCCAACCAGCTTGGACCCCCATTCCGGGCCGTATTATAGCATTGATCAAATCTTATGGAGATTTCATGGTCTGTTCTTCACTCCAGCACTTTCTTGTAACTTCCTTTCTGTTCTTTGCCTCTTGGCTACCATTTGCCTGGCTTCATGCAACTGTCAATACACGCATGCACTGACACACATAATCACATTTACATACATACTACTGCCCAATAAACTGCACACATTTAAAATATGTAATTTCACAACCAAAATAATAAACATAGGCATGCATGCATGCTAAGTCACTACAGTTGTATCTGATTCTTTGTGATCCAAGGGACTGTAGCTGGCCAGGCTCCTCTGTCTATGGGATTTTCCAGGCAAGAATACTGGAGTGGGTTGCCATGCCCTTCTCCAGGGGATCTTCCCAATCCAGGGATTGGACCACTGTCTGTTATGTCTCCTGCATTGGCAAGAAGGTTCTTTATCACTAGCAGCACCTGGGAAGCCCAATAAACATATATGTCACACCCCCAAATTTCCTTGTTCCTCTTTGTAATTCCTCCCTCCCAAACCTGTCTCAGACCCCCCACTCCTACCAGAGAAACATTAATCTGCTTTTTGTCACTGAAAGTTATTAGTGTGCTTACTTCTTCTATTCATCTATTAAATGTCAGATTTTTCCTTTCTGTGACTCAGAGAAAGAAAAATTTATTGAATAAATAAATTTAATAAGGTCTTTCCTAGTGGTTCAGTGGTAAAGGATCCACCTGCCAATGCAGAAGACTTGGATTTAATCCTTGGATTGGGAAGATCCCCTGGAGGAGGAAATGGCAACCCACTCTAGTATTCTTGCCTGGAAAATCCCATGGACAGAGGAGCCTGGCAGGCTACAGTCCATGGGGTTGCAAAGAGATATGACTCAGTGACTATACGGCAGCAGCAAATTTAATAAGGAGAAGCATATTAAATAAGTCTTTAAACAGTGTAGTTTATTCACTTATGGCATGCCAGGATAAATGAAAAGAACTTTCATCTTAAAATGCTATGGGTAACCTATTGTGTAAATATAGATATTTTGTAAAATAACCTTTAAACTGTAAATTGACACGTGTTTGGTCAGATTGTGTCAAGTTTAATTTGATTTTTTTCTCTTTTTTCATATGAAAACTACTTTAGCAATAATTAATTCCATGATTACTACATTCTGCCATTAAAGGACGTTCGTTAGTACCCCAACACTGCAGAAATCTTGAAGAGTATGAACTCATTCTATGCATCCTTGTCAATTAAGTTATTTCTTTCTTGACAAATAAACCCTTTGATACTTTCAACCAGAAGTAAGTCTCAGAGCTATTTCTGAGGGGAGTTTGTATGAAATAAAAGATGCTTAGATTTGGTAATAACTTTTCCCAGCTGGCCTCTCTTGAGCAAGATACTTTTCCATCGCTTTTGCTTTGCTGGACTACCCTTTCCCTGGAATATTCTTGTAACACAAACTGTTTGTATTTTTGTCACTTGAAAAAGTTGTAGTACAGCTGGTCTGCAATTAAGTCACACATTTGAAGCTGCTGCTGCCTTTGTAAGTCAAAATACAGGTGACCGTGTCCTGGCCTAGTGTCCTTCCATCTGCTCCTGGACCGAGAATCCCATGGGCCTCCCAGCTACCATTCATTGCTTCACAGCCCACACATGAAGACTAGGAACTCAGTGAGTGCAGCTGCTAGTCCTGTTGGGAGGTGAAACTCACTCCACCAGAATTATTTCCTGATTTTTCACTAAAATGATGATACAGACTGAGGACATGTCACTCTGAAATTGGAAGGCATCCCCACTTAAGGCTCCAAAGTGCCTTACTCAGCTGAGTTCCAGGTTACTAGTCATAATTTTATTCACCCATTGGAGAATTTGATTCATTTAAATGTTGGGAGATGGCCATTTTAAACTACTGTTGTATATGTCTGTTTGGGGAAGTTACAAAAAGAAAATAAGAAAGAATACATATGAAGGGCGAGGCTGGTTATTCTTCCCATACAGTTGTGCTTTTGCTCACATGACTGATAAATTAATTTTTGCTTTCACTGCTTCCCTGGCGGCTCAGACTGTAAAGAATCTGCCTGCTGTGCAGGAGACCTGGGTTCAATTCTTGAGTTGGGAAGATACCCTGGAGAAACAAATGGCTCCCCACTCCAATATACTTGCCTGGAGAATCCCATAGCCAGAGGAGCCTGGTGGGCTACAAAGAGTCAGCCATGACTGAGCAACTAACACTATGATTTTTCACCAGTAAACACTATTACTAACAGATTTGCCTATTTCCACTGCCCTTGTAATACTTTGAAGTGTTTCAAACAGAGCATAATAATCAAAAAATTAGTTCCATTATAAAAAAATATCAAATAAAAGGATTTTAGCAAAAAAAAAAGAAGCACAAAAACTCATGATGCATTTTCTCTTTAAAGAATCACATTTGTTTTTTAGTTCTGTCCACTGAAAAGAGCTAGAAAAAACAACCAGTGTAACAGCAGCAAGTGCCCTTGAGCCTGATTATGGGCTCTGAGTGCCGTTTCTCCTCCTCTCCCCTCCCCATTAAAAGGCATCTGGGCTCCTTAAGAAAAATGATTGGAGGTCTTGGTCAGGGAAATGCATGAGGCTAGCCTGAAGTGCTTCTTCCTACCAGAAAACAAGAAGGCTGTTAAAGATTCTAGGACTCATGACAAAGAAATCAGAAATCAACTTAAAAAAACTCCCACTGGCCAAGAATGGCACAATTAAAATACAAAAAATAATAGTCACTGCAAAAGATTAGGACACATGAAATATTTTAATATTTATAGTTTCATGGTGATTTAAAAAATGTATTGGACACCATTGTAGGGTACTACAAATCAACCCATTATTCTAAGAACTTAGAAATAAGGAAAGAGCCATGTATCTAGACTTGCTTATATGAATACTACCTCAAGGCACTGAAATCATTGGCAAAATGAGTGGGAGATGAGACTGTCACCATTTTGCAATCCCTAATGAATTGGTGGATCTAAGCTAAAATCGTTTTTAAAAGGCTAATGGGGAACTTCATAATGGATGGATGAAACTGATAACCCCGATCCCACTGGTAAATCTGAGCATCACAAAAAAACCGACATGCAGACACTGTGTCTCCTGGTAGGATGAATGCCCAGGAAGCACACAGCATCTG